AATTTAAAAAAAAGGCAAATACTGCATCTAGCTTATGTCATTTCCCATATTTTTCTGGCTAATAGAAAAAGGAAGGTGGGGAGAAAAGGAGTCAGTTCATCAAAGATAACCGTTTCTTCAATTCTGAATTTTAAAATTACAATCCTTAAATCAATCATGTTTGGCTATGTTTAATATGATTTTGCTCATACAAATAAAATGTTTAATTATTGTGTTAATTCAATCTTACAATTTTCCTGCTTAAAATCCTTTAATGAGACTGCAAAGCCCAACAGGAAAAAAATGTCTCGTTTGCATAAAGGATCTGTCACATCAGACATCAGTCTTCCTAAAGAGTTTCTTACCTACTTAATCACAGCTATATGCACCTAATGCTCTAATCATACTCAAGTCATGCCCACCACATGACTGCATATACTGGTTCTCTTAGCTTGATAACCCTTTCTACAATAAACACATTAATTTCCCAATGTCACTTTTCTTGAGGAATTTTCTTTGTTAACAGAACAGTTGGTTGCTCCTCCTTTTTCATTCTCCAAAAATGTAATTTGTAATTCTACTCTTACATCTGTTATTCATCGTCATTCCCTTTGATGTCTGTACAAAAGACAGAATTCAGTGTCCTTGAAGGCAGGGTGCTGAGGATAAGAAACAGCTACTACAATAACACAGGAGGTCAGAACACAATGACAGATTTTTCTTTACCTTTGCAGTTCTTTAAAAAAGAATCTTGGGCTCTTTGGCCTCGGCGGCAGAAGCAAGATGACGAAAGGAACGTCATCTTTTGGAAAGCGTCGCAATAAGATGCACACGTTGTGCTGCCGCTGTGGCTCTAAGGCCTACCACCTTCAGAAGTCGACCTGTGGCAAATGTGGCTACCCTGCCAAGCGCAAGAGAAAGTATAACTGGAGTGCCAAGGCTAAGAGACGAAATACTACCGGGACTGGGCGGATGAGGCACCTGAAAATTGTCTATCGCAGATTCAGACATGGATTCCGTGAAGGAACGACACCAAAACCCAAGAGGGCAGCTGTTGCAGCATCCAGTTCATCTTGAGGATTTTGGCCATCAGTCATAAAATAAATGTTCTGGTTTCAAAAACTGTAAAAAAAAAAAAAATCTTGGGACTAGAGAGATGAGCCAGTGGTTTTAAGACACTGGCTGCTCTTGCAGAGGACCCAGATTCAAATCCCAGCACCCCACATGGTGGCTAACAACTGTTCATAACTCCAGTTCCAGGAGATCCAATGCTCTTTTCTCATCTTCGTGGACACTGCACCACATGGGTACACTTACATACTTGCATTCAATACACTTATATACATAAAATAATAAAAAATAAATAAAATAGCCGGGCATGGTGGTGTGTGCTTTTGACCCCAGCACTTGGGAGGCAGAGGCAGGCGGATCTTTGCTAGTTTGAGGCCAGCCTGGTCTCCATAGTGAGTTCCAGGTCAGCTGGGGCTACAGGGAGATCCTGTCTCAAAAAGACATAAATAAACAAACAAACAAACAAACAAATAAATAAATAAAATAAAAATAAAAAAGAATCTTGCAGCCAGGCATGGTGGCCCACACCTTTAACCTCAACACTGAGGAGGCAGAGGCAGGTGGATCTGGCCAGCCTGGTCTATACAGCAAGCCAAACAAAAACAATTTTGTATGTTGGATAAAGTGGAAGTTGGAGCAAGAAGACAAGTTTGGTACCGTCTGGGCTACATAACGAAACTCTATCTCAAAAAAACAAAAACAAAACAAACAGAAAAAAGAATCTTGTCGAAATTCATTCTCTAAGAGGGCAAAAAACTTGTTTTCCCTTGGTCAGATTTTACTAACTACCAAGTACATCATCTCTTGCCTGTTTTACCAGCACACAACCACCTACACACAGAAGAACCTACCTAGTCAGGATCAGTGTGTGCGGGTGTATATCAGAATATACCTAAACCAATCTGAAGACTTTTTAAAAATATATTTCAGTTAGTAGAAATTAGCACCTTACTTACAAAGGACATTCAGAGTAAAATGATTATCCACAGGTAGGTCAGAAGGAGGTACAAACTCACATGTCCCCAGAGCTCCTTAAAAATGACATTTTAAGTTTGGAAATGAACTAATTCAAAATTTCCCTGGATTATTCTTGTGTCTTCCATCTACTCTTGACTATCTGAAAAAAATTATTCAGGAGCTGGTGAGATTACTCAGTGAGTAAAGGCACTTGCTGCCAAGCCTGACAACCTGAGTTCAATCCTCAGGAAATACATGGTAGAAGAAGTAACTCCTGCAAGCTGTCCTCTGACCTCTACATCATGCTGTGGCATGTGCATGCACACACGTATGCATGCATATATACCTATGTGGGTACACATACAAATACAATAAAAATAATTTTAAAAATACAACCCATTCTGCTACCTAAAATTAGTAACTTAAATTTAAATCTTAAACCTACATTACAATTAAAGTTACATGTACGTTTAGGTGTATATTAACTAAAGACCAGGGTCAGGAGATGACTCAGGGGGGTCAAAGTACTTGTGATTCAAGCCTGATGACCTGAGTTCAATCTGAACCCCTGGTGGAAGGAGAAAACCGACTCCTAAATGTCCTCTGTGGGACTGGAGAGATGGCTCAGCAGTTAAGATCACTGGCTGGTCTTGCAGAAGACCTGAGTTTGAGTCCCAGCATGCACATGGAGGCTAACAACTGTCTGTAACTTCAGCTCCAGGGGACTCTAACACCTTCTTCTGATCTCCATGGGCACTGCACAACAAGGGTACACTTAAACAAATGCAAACAATACAGGCATACACATAAAATAAAAATAATATTTTTTAAAACAGTGTCCTCTGACCTCCACATGCATGCCACAGCACGTGCAACCTGAAACTTACATACATACACCTCCCCAATAATAAAACGTAAAGACGAATGAATAACATAAACTCTCAAAAGAACTTCAAAATGTTTCTTCCCACTGATTCATTCATCATACTCTATCCTATTTCATTTTTCATACATATGAAACAATTTTGCTTACTGGCTGAACCTTTAAAAAGGCAAAAATGACATATACTAAATATATATGCACACATGTACACTTTTCTTACAAGACTTAATAGCAATAGTTACCTGCTAGAAAGAAATGCTAGTTACTATCTTTTCAGTTAAAAAAATTTGAAAGGCACTCACGAAGCCCATATTGTTTCTGAAGTCAATCTCTACAGAGTGTTGTCTATTAAAGTCGGAGATCAGTTTGGGGTCTAACAGTAGTCCTCTTTTGCCCTGAGAGCTACCTCCCAGAAAGGAATTCAGATATTTTCTCATCATACCTAAATGTTTGGAGAGAAGCTATTTCAAGAAAAACAGAACTTTACTGATAGAGTGAGAGAATATTTACTTCCCTTTATCTGTGTTCCTTCTTTCAAAAAGTTTACATATATAATACAATAGCAACCCACGGGGAACTTAACAGAAACTCTTAAGTATCATACAAGTAGCAAAGTCCTTGAGAAGGAATCCAGCTGCTGGCTGGGAAGGGGAGGAATAGGGCCGGGCATGGACTTGGCTGCTGGGTCCTCCAGTAGGGAACAGAGCCGGGGCAGCTGTGCCAGGTCTCCTACTGCATGACTGGAATCAATCTCCCAAGTCAGTTTCTATGTACAGTCCCAGAAGGAAGAAGAGAGAACCATAAGTAAGAGAGCCTTGGCAACTATAAGAGGCTTGCAGGTATTTCTGCTAATCTGGGTTGTAAGTGTAGGCATTTCTCAGGGGTGTATGTGTGTGTTGAGGGAGAGGCTATATCCACACAGTAATAATAATAAAAAAAAGTTGAAAATGAATCCATTTCAGTTTTTCTTTTTAAAGTTATTTGTATTTGTGTGTGTGTGTGTGTGCATACGCATGCATATGCCTACAGAAAACAGAAGAGGGTGTCTGAACCCTTGGAGCTGGAGTTGTAGGCAGCTGTGAGCTGCCTGATATAAGTGCTGAGATCCTCTGAAGAGCAGCCAATGCTCTTAACTGCTGAACCACCTCTCTAGTCCCTTCTTTAAGTTTTTTTTTTTTTTTTTTTTTTTTTTCAATTTTAAACTCTCAGTCTTCCTGCTTACATTTCCCAAGTGCTGGGATTAAAAGCTGTGGATCATCAACCCTTGGCCAATTTCAGGGTTTTATTATGGGGGGTGGGGGAGATATGCCATTGAGACAGACTCTTACTATGTAGCTCATACTGGCTTTGAACCTTTGGCAATCCTTCTGTCAGCCTGTCTAGTGCTGGGGTTACAGGCATGAGCCACCACACCCAGCTTCCCATTTCAGTTTTAAATACTATTTTTAGCAGCACTTCCTGTCACATGATTACAATTTTAACCACATTGTGGAATTTCATTTCTAATTGAAAGAATCTCTCATTGATTTGCTCTCCAGAAAATTCAAGGAAACCACAGTAACTTAATACCACTAACAATTTCTTAAAAAAATCAAATCCATACCTATCTGCACAATGAGACCTTACATGGATAATCAAGGAATATGCAACTTCCCTGAAGTTCTTAGCCTAATCAAGACTGGGATGGTGGGAATTTCCATTGTTTTAAGGGAGCAGCACTCCATTCTTATACTAGATGGGGATTGATGGGAAACATTTCTTACTTTGTTTATATTAGAAACAGAATCAAAAGAGGAAATTGGCTTTTTTCCTTTGCATTTTTTTGCTCAGTGGCTGCACTTTCAAACTTCACAAATATTAGCTAGTTCTCATTTTCTTTATCAAACAGCTTTCTATTTTGCTAAGCCAGAGGAAGCATCCTAGAAAAGACAAAAACTACGAAGAATACTTATTTTTATCTTGAAGGTGAAAAACAAAGTGAGGCTTATTTTTAACTTTAAAATAAAAGCAAACTCTCACTTTTATGTCCTCTGGAATGCAGTATTCTATAGAAACCCACACATTCTGAAAATAACGTGAAAAAGATATGCTAGAAAGTGAAACTACGTACCTTGATCAGTGAACATGACTCCACATAATTAGTTTACTCTGGTTTAGTAAGAAAATATTTGGTTTTCCTCTGTTCATGTGATCAAAATCTCCTAGCTTCTATGCTTCAGGAATGAATCTGAGATCAGCCAGAGATCAGTCGGGAGTTCTGGCCAGAGTACTGTGGACTTCAGGGCATTCTTAAACTTCACTGCACAAAAACAACCCCATGCATAATATGCCACACCTCCTCGGAGGTTGGGCTGCTGCTAGGCTTCTTTAAGGGACCAAATACAGAGGATGGAGAGACTTCTATTTATTATAGCTAAAAAAAAAAAAAACAAAAACAGTTATAGTTATAAACTGGCTAATGCTTGAATGCTCAGTAATCCTCTCAAAAAGCTAACAACGACACAGTTTGTTATCCTTTTGATGGGGTCTCTTGCCTTGGACAAAAGATACCATGGATTCCTGATCTGGAAACCTAAGAATTAACATGTGAACTTGAATGACCTTAAATCTTTGCCACTGAAGTTTTCCTTTTTACTACAGCTCATTTATTTGTAGAATAAACTACGTAATATGAATAACAGTTTCCTAAGGAAACCAAGTTTTACATTTTATTTCAGAACATAAACTGGTAAAATATTTATTGCTCTTTTTTATATATCTTTACATACTTGGATAAGGACTTTAAAATTTTCTCAGAGTCTTGAAAAAGTAAAAAATGTCAGAAATAAAGTATTTATGAAATCACAGAGCAGTAACAACATACCCCTTCCTCACAGGGGAAAGGTGGTTTCTCTAATCCCTCCTTAAAGCATCTATTAATAAACACAATGGCTCTGATAGTCTTGTTTGGTATGCAAAATCTCCTAGAATGCTGTTCATGCACAGGCTGGTATGTAGTGGGGTCTCTCTCTCTCTCTCTCTCTCTCTCTCTCTCTCTCTCTCACCCACCCACCAGAGGTTCATTCTGAAGCTCAGGCTGGCCTCATCCTCAGACTCCCTGGAGCTGGGATCACAGGTGTGTACACCTACCCCAGGTTTTGCATTTCTAACTCCCAGGTGACCCTGACAGTGCTGGTCTGAGCCTAAACTTCACTGTGCTAACTTACTACAACCTCCAAGGGCATGCTTAACAGCACACCCAGCTGCATATCAACATTATTAGTCAGTTACTACTGTTCAGGTAGGAGCACAGTGATCAAGCAGGAGGTCCTGGAGATTTTTATTTTCTCACTTCAGCAGGTATTCATTCACAAAGTTCTCTTAGTAACTTGTACCTGTCCATCAGGAAATGATTTTCAATAAAAATCACAATTTTTAAATAAGTATCTTTCCAGTGGGTGAAGGTGCAGCTTAATCGTGGAGTACTTATTTATCATGTGAGAGCCCTAGGTTCAATTCTCAGGAACACACACACAAGTTGTTTGAATTTAAGGCATGAGTAAGTATTATAGCTAATATAAAAGAGTAGAGAATTGTAACAGAGAAAAGAAGTCAAAGAGAAAAAAAAAACATGAAATATCCTTATTTTTTTTTTTTTTTTTGCAAACTTTGCCCATATGTACTTAGATTCTAAGATTCTTAGCCCTGGTAAGTGCAGCACTGAAAAATCATGTTTCCATGATCCAAAAAATCCTCTGAAGTCTATGATTCCTAACCCTGATAGGAATATTTACGTTATAGTCTCAGGACTGGTTTTCAAACATATTCCTTTTCTTCTTTTATAGGTAACATTTACTTTGTGCCAGGTGCTATTTTAAGTACTTTCAATGTGGCATTTCATTAAATCCTCACTAAGGTAAATAAGAATTTGTCACCACTTTACAGAAGAGAAAATGAGGCTTAAGATTTTTAATTTTTGGTTATCTACACAAATAAAGTGGCAAGCTTTAGGAAGTTAATTTAACAAATTAAGATATGATGACATTCAATTTTTCTTTATAGACAAAAGCCAGAAACTAAAATTTGTTTTTCAGGTAGACTTAAATAGCTAAAATAAGACAGACTTGTGTTAAGGCCTTACCTAAGTGGTAGAGTACATGCTTAGCACACCTGAGGCCCTAGGTTCAATTCCCAGCATCAAACTAAATAAATAAATAAACAAAAATATAACTGAAATTTAATTTCCCACAAGTGGAAAATGTAAACAAACATAAGAGTAAACTCAAGGCTTCTCAGTGCTAGCCATGGAAGTTTCTTACTCTGTTAAGCATGCACTCCTACCATGTAACTTAGCAACCCAGACTCCTAGATAGCTTACCAAATGAAATGAATACTGACCCATGTAAAATGGATACTTACAGAGGCTTCATTCATAAATACTAAACACTAGAAACACTCGCTCATCTTTCTACTAGTAAGTGGACAAATTGTACTCTGGTATATCCCTAAATGGCATAACTCAGCAGGAATGAAAATGAACTAAAGATACTCACATATACATTAGAAAGAAGCCAACCTAAAAGGCTAAGTATCTAGGATTCCATATGGCATCATGGAAAAGGTAAACTATAGAGAAGATCTCTGCTGATCACAAAAGGTCATGGCACCATTCTGGAAGTCAATGGAGAGGTTCTGCATCTTCACTGTGTGGTAGTTGTACAGTTTTATGTATGGGTCAATATATTTATTACATTTTTGTTGCTATGCTAAAACACCATTACCAAGGTAACTTATAGAAGGAAGAGTTTATTTGGCTTATGGTTTCAGAGGGATGAGAGGTCATTAAGGTGGGGAGGGATGGAGGCAGGGGGCAGCTGGAGCAGAAAGCTGAGCACTCACATTTTAAAGCACCCACTGAAAGCAGAGACAATCTGGAAATAGGACAAGGCTATGAGCTCTCAAAGCCCACACCCCAGTGAGGTGCTTTCTCCAGCAAGACCACACCTCCTAAGGTTCCATGATCTTCCACAGATAGAACCACCAACTGACCAAGTGTTTAAATACCTTGAGCCTATGAGGGTTATTCTCATTCAAATCACTACAGTCAATATTCAGGATTATACCATAAAAATAGTAATTTCAATGTTTGTAAATTATCCTATGCTTTTAACCCACAAAAATGATGTTTATTCTTAAAACAAACAAGCAAATGAACAGAAAAACAAAAGATGAGGCTGAGCCAGGAGAATTATGAGTTTCAGAGAAGTCTGGACTACCTAGCAAGTCCCATTTTCCTATGACAACAATAACAAAGGCAAGCAAACAAAAACAACAGCAAGACACAATTTACAAAAGAAAGAGGCAAAAAGGAAACTGATAGTTTGTCTTAGCAAAAACTCAAAGTTAAATTATGTCTGGTATTTGTGGCCCTTCCCATCTTCAACAATAGATAGGATCATTGACTAATTATGTCTGTTTTCTCTGATTAAAAAAAATTTGACAAATTTTAAAATGTGAACTAATTATCTCCACACATAAACCCCTTGTACAGGCTGAAGTTTATGACAACACAAGGATGAATCCTTCTGAAAAAATAAGTTCAGATACTTTAGTTAATTTAGAATGTTTGCTATAGATAGTACAAGTACACTGGAGAATACTTATAATCCATGCTAACCAAGCACAGCCATTCACAGAATTGCTTTCTAAACTCTTAGCAGGCTACCACTCCACCCTTTTATCTATTTTTGCCATAGAGTTATTTCTGTATAATTCTACTAAATAGAAACTTAAAAGTTTTTGCCAAATTTCATAACATTTTGGCTTTTTTTTCATTATACTGAACTTAAATTTCTTTGCAGGGACTATCTATGCAATTTTCAATACTTTACTATTCATAATTTAAAAAAATCAAGATCTTTTGAATGTATTCTATACTTCCTGAACTAAAATCTGTATGTGTACAATGTTTAAAAGTAAGTGACTAAGCTGTCTGCCTTAGCATTTTTATTTAAAGATAATAAAATATAACTTACCATATAATTGAAAACATCCATGTATTAGTAACAAATAAAGCTTTAATAAATTATTTACTACTAAACATGTTTTGGCATTAAGATAAAAGGAAAACTTGACCACATAAATGTTAGAATTTAGCCTTGTTCAGACAGAAATGACACTAGGAAAAATAATTGAAAAGTTTTTATTTTTACTTCATTAAGAAGTGAAATGCTAGCCGGGCGTGGTGGCGCATGCCTTTAATCCCAGCACTCGGGAGGCAGAGGCAGGAGGATCTCTGTGAGTTCAAAACCAGCCTGGTCTACATAGTGAGTTCCAGGACAGCAGAGGCTACAGGGAGACCTTGTCTCAAAAAAAAAAAAAAAAAAAAAAAAAAAAAAAAAAAAAAAAAGTGCAATGCTCCGATTCTTCTAATGTTATTTAACTGAGAAAAACCCCATTTTTGTAGATTGAATCTAATCCTATTCTTACCCTATTTTGTACTTATCAATATTCTAATAATGTAATAAAACCAAATAACAATTTACTATTGAAACAATTCCCTCAGTGGCTTAAAATAACACCTAAGTCCACTGTGACGGTACATCCCTTTAAATCCCAGCACTTGGGAGGTAGAGGAAGGCAGATCTCTGTGAGGTCCAGGCAAGGCAAATCTATATAGGGAGTTCCAGGTCAACTGTCTCAAAACAACAACCCCCAAACAAAACAAAAACCCTCACATCTTAAAAATACAGTAACCGATTGATACGTAATTTCTATCTCGCAAGCCCATGAGCCTTAGTAAAATGAAGCCTAGAAATTCATGAACACTAACTACATAACTACTGTTGCTTAGATTTTTTTTGTACTAAACTGTTTTTGTGTAAATCTTCAAAGAGAACTTACATTTGAATCTTGCTTTAAAAAAAATAAAGTTAATAAAAATCTTTCTACTACCTCTTTAGTTCTATGTTCAGCTAAAATTGTAATCACATACAGCACACTCAAGCCAGGGTTTCCAGATAGATGAGGTCATACTACTAAGTTAAACTTCCATTCTAATTTGATTCCATACCTCCTCTTTGAAGCCCAAAGAAGGCTTCACAACTCTCTAACCGTGTATGTATAAGGGTATGGTGAAGGGAGCCATTAATTACAGCATTTTAGTGATAAAAGTGATATGAGATTATAATGGAGCTAAAACATTCCCATCACACAGTAGGATGCTGCAGCTATTGAGACATCATTGTGTGGCTTGTGGTGATTGTGGTGTAAACCAATCTCACTAATTGCACTATTTGAGAGTGTACCCTTTCTATTTCTTTAAAAATAAGGCTTCTATAAAGAGTACACCGTATCGTAGCTCTCTTGATGTCAGTGAATGACTGACCTACACCATCTAGATGTCCTTAAATATACTCTATGACTGTCATACGA